TTTTTTTCAAATCAAAATAGTGCAAAAGCACATGTCGAAAAAACACTTTATCGCGTTCCATTTTTCACAAAGCAAAAGAAATTGTTGTTTAGGAAAATAATTGTGTATGCTGACTGAATGTTATCGAGAAATGTCGAAATTAATCACAAACTACCTGTTTCGTTAGTAATGACTACTAGAACTGTTTGCATTGCCATCTAACATTTGCGGGCGGAAACTAAGTTAAGATCCTAATAAAACACATATATCATTTATCATTTGGATTAAAAGTTTATATATTTGTAATTAAGAAGTTATAATACAAACAGGTAATTTCTAAACAACACAAAATCGAACAAGTATTCTATCTTACCGCAAATCATGTCCAAAGTACAATTTGCTATATGATGAAAAAAATCTACGTCGGCATTTACCATGCATTCTACTTTTTCCATAAATACTGATACATGCTGCACAAATATATCGCAGAATATTCGTAACATATTTGTATTAAAGCTCGTCACTAGCATTTTTCGATGGTGAATCCATATATGTGCTGCGGAAAGATTTATATTAAAATGAAATGAAAAAAATAGTAAGCGCATTTCTTCATTAAATAAAATATTATAAACCCAGTAAGCAATCTGCGCGCAGACTGACGTCAGACTGTCGACAGGATCTGTCGAATCCGAGCAGGATTTGTCGACAGATCCATAGACATCTGCGTCCCCAATCTGCCGCCAGACTGTTGACAGGGTCTGCGAACAGACTCTGACGACAGACTAGCGGCAGATTGCGCGCAGAGCCTGTCGACAGACTATGACGGCAGATTGGCTGCAGATTGCGCGCAGATCCTGTCGTTTCGTAGGTTCTTCAATTAAATTTTCTCATAATTTTTCATAATTACTCATAGAATAAGCGCTTTCTCATAAATACTCATAAAATACTATGACAAAAAAATTTTTTCTACATTATTTTTTCATAATTTTTAATATTTTCTCTAGTGAGATTCGAACTTGAACTGAAGACATCTTTTGGATAATCGTCCGTCGCCTTAGACACTACGCCAATTCCTCACTTGATAAAAAGCGCTTTGTATTGCCCATTTAAAGTTTAAGGAAGAAAAATATTATAGTTTGTTCGCCTTTTAAGCCGCAAAATATAGACGAAACCGTTTAGCGTATAAATAATGTAAGAGAGACTGGTACGATAATTCGAAATTAATTTTCTACCAAGGAATGTATAGAAAATTACTGCAATAAAACAGCAGATAATGACATTTTTCTATCATGTTAATAAAATACTGTACTTTTACATGTGCGAATTAATTTGGTCGATCGTCCCGTTCAGATTGTATTAAGTTTTATCAAAATCGAAGCATGATATATTTTTAAATAAACCATCAAAAAAATTCTGTAAAAGTTATTTACATAGCGAGACTAATATTTTATTCGGTGCTGCTGCCTTCAATACTTATTGCATGACGGTTAAATCGGATTTAATGACATAACAACATTTAAAAAAATAATAAGATGAGAAATTGTATGAAAAATTATGAGAACAATTTTTACCAGGAATGACATGTGTACGCCTTTAAATGGCCATTTAACCGTTGTACTATTCTATACTTGTACTCGTTATTTCTCTATTATTGTTGTTTTTTTATAAAAAATGTGTAATACAATTTTAAAATATAAACATTGTTTTTTATTGTGTATATGTGTACAATTATTGCACAATATAATTATCTTGACTTCTCTGCAGCATGGTGTGTACGTGAAACTGCCCCATTTAATAACGTACATATGGCCCTTAATAGAATTAAATAGCCTATCTAAGAAACAGAATCTGTGCGCAATCTGCCGTCAGTCTGTCGTCAGAATCTGTCGACAGGTTCTGCGCGCAGTCTGTCACCAATCTGTCGTCAGAGACTGCTAAAACAGTTTCTGTGTGCAGTCTGTTGCCATTCTGTCAACAGATATTGTTGACAGACTCTGCGTAAAATCTGCTCGCACAGGTTTGGCTATCTGGGGTGAATCTTCTCAGTATTGTCCGTCTGAATAACGTATTATGTAAGAAACTTTGTAACATTTATATTGCAGGCACAATACAACATAATCTGAAAAAAATCTTGTTAGATTCATATCCCAGCAAACACAGAATATAATTATTATATAACAAAGACCCAGCGAGAAAAGTTACGTCGATTCGACGTCTACCACCCTTATAGAAATATCATACTAAAAATCATTGATAATTACTTATGTTCAGTGTTAAAAATACTGGATAATAAGTATCAATGATTCTTAGTATGATATTTCTATAAGAGCAGACGCCTATATAAAACGTCTATCTACCATCTACGTCTAATCTAGATTAAGATCTATATCCACCTAAAAACGGTCCACATGTCTAATAGGTCATTTCGACGTCTTATCGATGTTAACTTTAGACCGTGGTAAGACGAATAGACATCGAATCAATGTCTTTTAGACGCTTTAGATGTCTAGTAGATATCGATGTAATGTTTATTTAACTGCTATTTTTCCCTGGGTAAAAGCCCACCCAGCGAGAACGTAGATGTCGATTCGACGTCGGAGAAGTCTAAGTTACGTCTAGAAAAATTACAATTTAGACGTCTTCTATTTTCAACGAACGATTTTCTAATATATATTAGATGTCTATTCGATATTGAATCGATGTCTGATATATATCTTTTGCTTTATGCGTAAAAATATTTTTATTTTTACTAGAGATTTGATTATAGTCTAAACGCACTTCTAGAAAAATAGCAAATCGACATCTAATATATATTAGACGTCGATTCAATATCGAATAGACGTCTAGAGAGATTGTAAATAATCGACAAAATAAAATCTCAAAATTTTATCGAAAACTCTCTTTTGGTCAATATATTATGAATGGATTCTAAAACATTAAAATTTATTCAAAATAGAAGACTTCTAAATTGCCATTTTTCTAGATGTGCATTTAAACTAGACGTAACTTAGATTTCTCCAACATCGGTTAGATGTCGAATCGACGTCAGTGTTCTCGCTGGGGAAGTAACACGCAATATAACGGATGTTATACGTTATTAATGTTAAAGTTACATAATTTTCTTTTATAACTGCAATTTAATTGTGTTTTAGAACTGTTATAATTCTCTGCTATTTACAGGTTATAATTGTATAACACCAACATGACTAAAATATAACAGGTTATATAATAAGCGTTTATTTGCATTACATCTATGTTATATGACATTCTTATATCTAAGGATCGGATCGGTCGCTAGATGACATTTTCTTGTGTCTTTCTCGTACGTAAAATATGATGCATTAATATACAGGGTAACCATTTTAATCTCCCCACCTGAATTTCTCGTAATCTAAGTCAGATAGAGAAAAATGGTCCAGACAAAAGTAGAAGGGGACAGAGGGGGTCACGTAATGGTACCAAGGACCTTGACCTTGAACTCGATTTTCAAGGTTATTTCAAGGTCAAAGTGATTTTTTTAAATAGGAACACCTATTTTTGACCCCGGATTTGAAAAGAGCGGGAAATTTTACGTTCAAAATGATATGTTAATTAAGGTCATGGCAAGGTCGAATGAAGGTCAAGTTTGCGAATTTTGATTTCCCAATTGAATATATCGGAACCTAAGCCAAATACGTAAAATTGGTTCAGACAAATGTTAAAGGGGGCCGAGGGGGTCACCTATCTGTACTCTGATCTTGATCTTGAACTCGATTTTCAAGGTTATTTCAAGGTCATAGTGATTTTT